ATCCAACATTGGAATTGTACATCAATAACAACCGTGCTCGGGATATCAATTTCAGACAATATGGCGCGGTACAGGCCAATGAAATAGCAGCCGTATTTATTTCTGAAGATGGGAGACCGCCCCTGGATCGTTGCTTACATGTTTATTGTCGAGACAACGACCAGACTATCCACAAATTGCCATATCTTAGTGTCAATTGCGATGCAATGACCTATCCTCTATTACATCCAAGAGGAGAAGCAGGATGGCAGTCTAGAACACCACATCAATATAGAAGAGGCTATATATCGTTACTGGAATATTATAGTTTCAGAATAGCTGTTCGACCAAATACCTTCAATCAATTTGTAATGGCAGGCAAGCTAACACAACAGTACATCGTAGATGCATACGTAAAAATCGAACAGAGTCGACTACAATTTATTACTGAAAATCAACCACGTATTAGGCAAGAAATATTTCAAGGATTTAGACAAAACTATTTGGATGCCATGTCTATAGTCACAAAATACGGGAAACCAGATATTTTCCTAACATTTACTTGCAATCCTGCATGGCCTGAAATCAGGAAATAACTTAGATGCAAATCAACATTCCTCAAATAGACCTAATTTTGTATCCAGAGTGTTCAAGAGCAAATTAAAGAAATTAATAGAAGATATTGATAAACGACATATTATGGGAGTTTATGTTGCTTACGTTTACGTAATAGAATTTCAGAAAAGAGGACTTCCGCATGCGCATATGTTGATTTGGTTAGAAGAATCAGACAAAATATTGGACCCTGCAGCAATCGACCGTTTAATTTCAGCAGAATTTCCCGACCCTATCGCGCATGCCAACTTGCACGAATTGGTCAAAGTACATATGCTTCATGGACCTTGTACCAGTGCTCGATGCTTAGATGAAGAAGGACATTGCAGCAAACAATTCCCGAAATCTTTGCGCGAAGATACCTTATACAATCCCTCTGGATATCCGTTATATAAAAGACGGCCAATAGAAACACCTATACATATAGGTCGAAGAACAGTAGATAATAGTTGGGTTGTACCATATAACGCTTATCTACTTGAAAAATACGAAGCTCACATTAACGTGGAGGCTTGCTCTTCAATGAAAAGCGTAAAATATTTATTTAAATATATATTCAAAGGATTTGATAGAGCTCAAATTGTCGTACGAACCGTGGAAGAAGACGGCCAAACAACAACTATCCAGGAACCTATGTACAACGAAATTCAAATGATTCTGGACGTTCGCTATGTTAGCGCGCCTGAGGCGATGTAGACGATTTATACATTCGAAATGCACGATATGTCTCATGCTATTATTAAACTCTCTGTACATCTTCCGAATATGCAACAAGTCTATTTTAATACAAATAGTACCATTTCTGACGTCGTAGAAAGGGCCGCAACACAACACACTACGTTAACAGGATGGTTCGCCTTAAATACCCAAGATGAAGAAGCTAGACAATACACATACGTACAGATACCTTATAACTATGTGTGGAAAATAACACAAACAAGAATCTGGGTAAAACGTCAACGTCATTTTAATCGTATAATTCCTAGATTATATTTTGTACATCCTAGAGAAGGTAAAAGATTTTATCTTCGTCAACGTCTTTTGCATAAAACAGGATGTAGATCATTCGAAGACATTCGTACTGTACATGGCCGTACGTACGAAACGTTCCGTGACGCTACTATTGCGATGAACCTTCTCACGGACGATAGTATTTGGTTCACCACGTTGCAAGAAGCTATACACGTACAACTTCCACGAGCTCTTCGTCGTATGTTTTCACAGATGTTGCTGTTTTGTGAAATCGAAAATCCATCAGCATTGTGGGAACAATTTAAATATCATTTATCTGAAGATTATATACGACGCTTAAACGATAACGACCTAGCCTACAACTATGCCTTGGCTTACATCAATCGATACCTAGCACTACAAGGTTAATATTTCTATCAATAATTACTTTTATTAATTCATTTAAAATTGATACTTATGTTTTCAAATACCTTTTTTTTTATTTCACATTTTTTAAGCATATTGAAATCATTTATTTTCGTATTAGAAAATTTTTGAATTTAATCACTTTATATGTAACAGTACTGTGATGTAATATGAATTCAATATTCAATATATTTATCGCTATTAATTTAACACAACATAAGCATTTATGTTCCAATCAATTTCAGATGAATACACAATTATATACTAAGTGACATATAAATCCGAACACCCAGTTTAACTGGTTTTATTTTAATAAAATTTTGTATAAGTACTTAATGAAGCATAATAAGTAAATGATAAAAATTTCAAAATGATTGCACTGCTTTAAAGCCCTTTGACCTTTAATAATGTGTGGATGCACCCTGATGTGCTACGCATTCTCCAACGCGCCTAGGCATGCTTTTGATCAGGTGGTCAATGTCCTCCTGTGGTATCTCATTCCAGGCAACCACCAACTCCTCTCGAAGTGCTTCTAGAGTCTGAGGAGGACGTTGCAAATTGAGCAATCTCCTACCCATCATATCCCACACGTGCTCAATTGGGGATAAGGTGACCTGGAACCATAAGCTATAGCACCCCAAACCATAACTCCAACAGTGTGATGAACATGTCTTTCAACAAAAAACTGTGGATTCCTCCTTTCACCACGTCGCCTTCTAACCCTGGAACGACCATCGTGCATGCCTAAGCAAAATCGAGACTCGTCACTAAAGACAATACTGTTCCATTCCTGATCCCAGAGTGACCGTTGTCTGCACCACTCAAGGCGATTACGTCGGTGTTTTCGAGTTAAAGGGAGGACCCAGTGTGGCCGGTATAAAAACAAGCCAAAACTTCTCATTCGTCGGTAAACACTTCGCATGCCAATAGGTCTTCCGTGTTCTGCAAACCAATCATTTGCAATGGACCTGGTAGTGGAGAAACGGTCCCTTAAGGCCAATTATCTTAGGCGGCGATCTTCACGGTCTGTTGTTCTCGAAGCCATGCCTGACAACACCTAACCACAGTGTCTACACTTCTTTGCACTCTAACTGCAATTGCCCGAAAAGAAAGTCCAGCTTCCCGAAGTCCCACTATACGGCCCCTATCAAACTCACTAAGTTGACGAAATCGGACAGGTCTCCGAACTCTAGGCATCGTAACCGATCGTAAAGGATGTCAAGAACCAAAATCCGCCAACGTTGATTCTTTACTGCGGCTAAAATATTCATTTTTAGAGCGTTAGTGAATTAAAAAGAAAGCAGTATAAAAACCGGAATGTCCAACTGATAAGGCTGAAAAATTTTTCACTTGTTATTTACAGTAAGATAAATACATTCACCAACTTTTATTAAAATAAAACCAGTTAAACTGGGTGTTCGGATTTATATGTCACTTAGTATATTAAAACTATATTATGATAAGTAATTACTCAATATAATTATAAAATGTTTATATAACTACTTAATACATTTTTATTTTTAGGCAAATCAAACAGAGGCTTTCAACTGCTCTTACCCACTGAACCAGTAGAACACCTAATCGAAGATGAATACGATTATGATCAATCAGAAGAACAAGAAATTGCTAATAGGAACATTCCCCTTTTAAACCAAGAGCAACGACGTATTTTTACCGATATACTTCTGCATCAGTGAAATATTCCCAACTATGGCAACACTTTGTTCAGTACGATCTTCTTACGAACGTTAGAGCACTGCCACAGCAAAACGAATTCAAAGATTGGCTCATGACCATAGGAAATAATTCCGAAATTTTACTTCACTTAGAAAATGGCAGAGATACTATAGTCAAAGTTCCTAACCATATTATTGCAGAAAATGTTACTGAAAGCATTTACGGTAGGAATTTAATTGAACACGATTTCACACTATTACAAAAAGCGATTTTGTCTCCGTTAAACATTCATGTGAAGGATATCAATGCAGTTGTTTTAGAAAAACTGCCAGACAGATCACGACAATATATAGTGTTGATAGTATTATCCGAGAAGACGATACAACTGAAAATGCTGCTGATGATTTAGATTCTAGATGGCCACAAGACTTTTTAAATTCTTTGGATGCTCCAAGACTTCCTCCCTACATTCTTACACTAAAGATTGGTGCAGTTATCATTTTAACGAAGAATTTAGATGTAAAGAGAGGTTTATGTAACGGCACACGCTTATTGATTCATAATTTACACGAAAATTTTATAGAAGCAAAACGAGTAGAAGACCCTAATAATGAACCTTCGATCGAATTAATTTCCAGAGTTAACAACATCGCTCTAAACTCTCTTGATCTACCAGTCAACTTGAAAAGGAGACAATTCCCTGTACGTTTGGCTTTTGCAATGACAATTAATAAAAGCCAAGGTCAAACTTTTAACAGTGTCGGCTTACTTTTACCAGTAACAGTATTTGATCACGGACAACTGTATGTTGCACTATCAAGGGCAAGAAGTTTTGACAACCTCAAGATTCAAATGACAAATATAGGTGACCGTCAATATGTAGCTGAAATTTCAATTGATCACTCTTACACTGTTAACGTAGTATATAATGAGCTATTGCAAAGCAGCATAATCCAGTAAAACGAAGAAAAATAGCAAGAATTTCTTTCTTGGACAAATATTATACAATATGGAATGTAGATATATTTCAAAGACCATTGTACTCAAGCGCTACAAAAGCAAATAGCATAAGGAAATAGAAAAGGTTGATCTAATTATAAATTACAACATAAATGGTAGTGGAGGAACCATAATTTCACAAGCAAAATCATGTTACCATATGCTATTCTGTGTATTCATACTTACTACAATACTAATGGGTCAAATAAGGACTTTTATGTAAGTTATACAAAATATTTTTCACAAATATTCTTCTGAACATCTTATTGTACATTTTAATCCTATCAGCTACGACTTATTTACCAAAAACCATATCATATTTATAAAATATAAACAGATTTGTTGACAAAAAATGTATGTCCATTTACGTTTTTTAGATGAATCCCTGAAAAACTAAACTACGTAAGGAATATGAACGATGACCTACAGGCTACAAACTACAATATTAATGCTGAAAAAAGGATGCATGGTTTGCAACAGATGGAGATAGTCCGAGAAACTTTTCAATACAAAATGCAGATTACACCATCAACAATCTTTCCATTTTTAAGTCTATTTTTCAGTTTATTTAAAATACTAAAGAAAAAACAATATATGAAAAAGCAAAACCCCACTTGATTAATGTACACCCAATATTAGATCACAAAAATTACGAAACGCTCGGAAAAATAAACCTTATAAAGAAGAAAAACTCGACTTAACCATAAACTGCAATATTAATGCCGAGAAAAAGACAACTTGGAAGCAAACTATAATAGGAAAAGATGACAATCAATCATGTTTTTCCAAAAACAGATGGAAAATGCAATCTATATCATCTGCATTTTCTCCATTTTCAGGTTTCTCTTTCAGTAAAATTAAAATTACAAAACAAAAGACATAACAGAAAGAAAATCCACTTAAATAGTGTTTACCCATTATTATAGCAAACCATATATCTATACAATTACAGAATGGATCGTAAGGTCTGAAACATCTCACGTAAGTTTCTTTGATATAAGATATTGTTCTGAAAACATTCATGTACATTATTTTAGTGGTATCAACCATATTTTCTCACAAACACAGATATTAAATATTTCAGTTTATACAAGTCATTATCAGTTTGAATACGATAAATATAGTTGTAAACCCTAATTAGTGCCATAATTTTACATGACACTTGATTTTAATCCACTCTAAAGAAACCAGAAGTCTACAAGATTGAATATAGCTGTGTACTTATAACAGCCAAGTGGTTGCAACAGTGGTTACAGTTACGCGTATGTCCGGTTGCATACACAAAACACGTTACTCAACCTTATACTCTCATCAGGGTGCACAATATGACAACCATGTCGCACCTTCAAAAAATTGTCTGATTGGTCAGATTTAAATATCCGGAAGGTTTCTTTATGGCGCTGCACAAGGGGATGAAACTCATGAGCGAATGGGAAACAGAGCAGTGTTGTGGGTGCACAATATGACAATCATGTTGCACCCTCAAAAAATGTGCGCCTTATTCACAACTGACGTTGTCTGATTGGTCAGATTCAAATTTCCGGTGGATTTCTTCCTATAGCTGTGTGCTTTGCAAAAATAACCTTACTTCGCAAGCCATTTTCATTTCTTCTAACATAAACATTTCATTTTGATTGAATAAAGTCCCTATTATGTTATTTGAGACATGTGCCTTTTGTTCAGAGTTGTGAAGTATAAACATGTAAATACCCAGAGCTCTAATATACTGGGTGTTTTTTCTAGAGGCGGAGAACTTTCATTTGGCAACACTGTTTTGTGTGACAGCCGATCTGACAGTTCTGGGTTGTTTTTAGGTTAGTTTGGTTTGGCAATTCATCATGAATAGACTGACGCCGGAGCAACGTTTGCAAATTGTTCAAATTTATTTTGAAAGACATGGTTCAATTCGAGAAACACATCGGGCATTACGTGAATTTTATGGTGCCCATAATCGTCCTTCAGAGCGATTAATTCGAGAAACTGTTGATCGTTTTCGCAATACTTTTACTCTAATCGACAATACGCATCCCGTAAGACGCCGTACAGTGCGCACGCAACAAGCGATAGCTGCTGTGCAGCGTAGTGTTGATAATGATGCCAATGTGTCAATTCGTCGTCGTTCTCAACAAGTGAATTTGTGTCCATCCACTGTATGGAAAATTTTGCGCAAAGATCTTGGGTTGCGAGCATATAAAATTCAACTAGTCCAGGAGTTGAAACCCCGGGATCATCTATTGCGCCGTACATTAGCTGAATGGGCGGAAGGAAACATTGCTGTTGATCCAAGATTTCATATGAAAATTTTGTTTAGTGATGAAGCACACTTTTGGTTAAATGGCTATGTAAACAAACAAAATTGCCGAATTTGGGGTGATGAGAATCCACGAGCTATTGTCGAAACACCTTTACATCCAGCAAAACTAACCGTTTGGTGCGCTTTATGGACCGGTGGAATCATTGGTCCTTATGTCTTCAGAAATGCTGATGGTCAGAACGTTACAGTAAACGGTGAGCGATACAGAAACATGATTACTAACTTTTTTGTGCCTCACTTGGAAGGTGTTGCAGGCGTTGCAGAAATGTGGTTTCAGCAGGACGGTGCCACATGCCATACAGCGCACCAAACAATTAATTTACTGCAAGAGACATTCGAGCAACGAATCATTTCCAGAAATGGACCTGTAAACTGGCCACCTCGTTCGTGCGACTTGACGCCATTAGATTATTTTCTTTGGGGCTATGTTAAGTCGCATGTCTACGCTGATAAACCCGAAACACTTGAGCACTTGGAAGCCAACATTCGGCGCGTGATTGCCGAAATACAGCCTGCAGTACTGGAAAGAGCGTGTGAAAATTGGACCTCTAGATTACGCCATGTACGCGCAAGTCGTGGGGGTCACATGCCCGAAATCATATTTAAATGTTAATGCCAAAAAATTATCTTCAATATAAAAGCAAATTCGTTAATATCAATAAAATATTTTGTGTTTTATTTCAATTCAAAGTTCTCCGCCTCTAAAAAAAAATAGATAGGCTTCTGGAAATGCTGAGGAAGATCAGAAATGCAGCAGTTACTCATTTAAGAAGTGTAATATTTGAAGATCATACCTGTTGAAATCTCCATATAACTTTTTGAACAGAAGTGTTTAGCCGCCGGTCTCAACCCCTGAGATCCTGAGAATTATCAGAAGTTCGGAGATTACTTGTAATTTAACCAGAAGGCACAGCTCTGAAGGATATTTGCAAACAATATTTGTAAGTTTTTATATGGCTCAATAACCAGTGATGATTTATACTGCTTTTTGTCGATAACAGTTTCCATACTTCATTTGAAATCATCTATTCAATTTCAATGGCATCCAAGCCATATGTTATTGAACAATAACATGGATGCCCACAGAGCAGTGTCAGATGGGCTATGGTCAGTAGTGTCCTTATGGGGATTCAATCTCAGTAGTTCTAAAATCGGCCACCAGAGGCGCTGGCGTCGCGCGCCATTGATGGGTTGGACGGAATCTGTATGTGAAATTGACGAGTTGGGGATGCCGCCGCTAGATGGCGCTGTACAAACCAAACGGAATCTATGTGTCATTGGACACCTGTCATGCGTCATTGGGCATCTCGCGCATAGATGGCGCCGCTAGATGGCGCTCTACAAACCAAACGGAATCTATGTGTCATTGGACACGGGTTGGGCATCTCGCGCATAGATGGCGCCGATTTGTTGTCTGGCGCTGTACAAACCAAACGGAATCTATGTGTCATTGGACACCTGTCATTGATGGGTTGGGCATCTCGCGCATAGATGGCGCCGATGTCGCACCTGTCTGGTGTTGGCGTGGATATACGGGGGGCATTTAGAACCTGTATACAGGGGTGCATCGAAAAATAGCGGATCGATGGACCGACGGTATATCGTTAAATCGTATATAGCAAGGCGTGACCTAAATAGCGTGGTGGGCTCCTCTGGTCGGTCGGTCGGTTGGTCAGAATGTCTTATAACCTGTATACGATGTACTGTTATTATTATACAGGATGATACCGTTCAAAATGAAAATAGTATAATGGATATTTTATTGAAACATATAGTATATTGAGTACCCGCTTGAACAACTTGAAACAAGAAATTCTGACAATTATTTCGCAAACCAGAGGTATTTTCAATAAAACTACAATAATATGTTTAATATTTTATTGAAAATAGAACAAACTACATAGGTAATATGATATTTGAAAACCAGTGGCGCAGACGTTCAACATTTCTCTGGGTACAGGAAAATTGTCCGTTGGTGTGACATGGATTGGAATCAGCAACAAAGTTTCCAGTAGCACACGGTGTACCATCATACTTGCAAACATCAATAATGATGGGAAAAACACCAACAATGTGACATTTCTTGAGTAAAAAGTTTGCTTTCTGTTCTCCACGAACGTAGACATAGTCAGCTGCATATATCACCTTATTTTTAATTATTTCATTTAACTTGGAATATTTAACGTCGCCGGAAGAATATTTAAGCCCATGGAAATTCTAATCCAAGTAAGCGACAGTTTTCTTGTCTTTAGTATTTAATGTAGAAAAAGGTTGCGGAGGTGTAAAGATGTAATGACTTTTCTTGAAACCAATTTCGATACATAGTTCTTTAGGTACGAATAATCCGTCAACTGTAAAGCCTTGAATGTCAACAAACGCGATCCTCATGATATCTGATGCGGAACTGAGAGTCCTTCGTTGCTTACGAGATGGTTTTAATAACTTCGGTGAGGGGGAAGTACTCGATTAAGCAGTCATGTATAATGATGCAGTAGGCCTTGGTGTTGGTTGGGAAGCCAGTATCGGCTTCGATATCCAATCTAACATCAACAGTTGATGATTTCATGGTTTCCTCTTGTTTGGAACAGTCAATAACAAACAAAGCGCGATTTTTAAAGGCGGTATAATCTAAAAGACATCTCTTCAGAGAAGAAGAAGTTGTATAGCTGGTTTGAAAGTCGCTATAGTTGAAATGAGCTTCAGTAAAGTGATTGTTTGCAAAGTCCAATTGCATACGTTCGTTGGGATAGTATTCACCATTCAAAGATACTCGAATACTAGCAGCATTCACGTGATCAAACAGGGTAGGGTCTAAGGTTGCGACGTCACGTTTACCGGTTTGGAAACATGCTATAATGAAACGTGGTCTTTCGATTGCGGTGCTAGTTTTAACTGACCATATTTCTCTTCTCGCATCTGCGGTAATTGCAGGCAGTTCGTTCAGATCCCATTTTCTAAATGGTATAAGTATCGGCTTATCAGTTTGAATAGCTTTCAAAAGTTGTTCTTTCACATCATCACTCGGGTAAATATGTTTGATTTTCAGTTCCATGCTTTCAATAGTTATTTTCGCTGTCGTTGTCGTCGTCGTCGTTCCAGTTTTTTCCTTGATAATGATACAATCGTTATCGTTTCTAGCTCTCACAAATCTGAGAGTTTGTCTGCCACACGTAATCATAGGATAATCATTGAAAATGTTGAAAATATGTTTAAGCGGCATTAGCAAGCTAAAAGACTATGTGTTGACGCCATTATAGGTGTTGAAGGATAGTTCCATCCAGCTATAGCCATATGATTTGAGTCTTCCTCACTGTAACATACGTAAGCTCGGACAGTACTTACAATACCAGGATCACGTACTGTTTCAACTTCTCTAGCGGATTCACTGTAAGTGCAAGAGTCAAATAGGAAGGCACCAAAGTTTGGAGCTAAAGATACATCTCCTGCTCCAGTTATTTCAACTTTCCCTTTGATAGATAGAAGGGAAGCGTTCACTGCAAAGAACGAATCTACTTGATTGATGCTAAATTCCACAACATCATTAAAATTAAATGACTTGATGAACGGCGTATAAGATCTATACTCAGCCTTGCGAATAGATTCATCGAATGCTGGAGATCGATATAGATCAAACATCGGAGAAGTATGTGATGCTG